CTTTTGAATTGCTGCTTTGCCAGTAAAAGGGGAACCAAAGGCATTGCATTCTGCAAGTGAAACATGAGGGGTGCAGGTACACACTCTGCTTTTCACCCGAGGATCTCACACACTGGAACCCAGTGGATTTGTCTCAGACACCCCCACTCCAAACAATCGAGGGATTACTTACTGTTCAAAGAAGAGGTGTTCAAGGAAATGAGCAACCTGGATTCTAGGAAATCCWGTGAGGAATTATTAAAATGTCTATTAAAATAAAAGCACGCCAAACAGAAAGCTTTCAGACACGCCAAGTTTATCGAAGAGATTCAGATTTTCTCAATATTGATGTCAGTCTTTACTCAATCTGAGTTTGAAATATATGAGAGAATSTGCTGGTGAACTTCACAGGAGCTATCTGAAACGGTTCACATTTCTCTCTYAACTAGGTTAAATGAAACCTGATCTGGATTCCACTTGATCATAAGACTGGAATGCTGAAAATGCTGTAATCTATTTATACATCAAATTGGAGAAACACTGCACGTCTTTAAATTTCACTGCATTCCAGTGTGTTGGCTAGATAGCAACAATTTACAAACYGTTTCAAACTGAGAAAGAAAAGACAGACCAACCTGACTTATTTATCCTAAAGCCAGGATTGATTTCCTGGCTTTAAAACCATGGCCCAAACCCAGGTCTGCTCTGTGCCTTCCCTAAAAGCCTTGTTCTTGCAGCAGTAATTCATCACCAGTGCCAAAACACGGCAGCTGCCTCATGACGACTTCCAAATCCACACTTCTACATGGAAAATGGTGGGCACTAAATCCAACAACTACTAAAAAAATTATAGGAATGACAGCTGAGAACAAAACACATCAAAACGCATTGAAGGTGCAAGTAGAAATGAGTAAATATGATCATAAAATACCATCAGCTGTTTTTAGCCTGATCTGGGCCCCTTTCAAGTCAATGGCAAAGCCCATCAAGTGGCAGTGGAAGCTGTGTTTTGTGTCGCTGAGAGCTGTTCAAATCTAGGATTACACATGTACASATCAGCAGACAGGCCTTTAGCATGTTGTGCTCCTTTTCACCACGGGCACCTTTATTTTTCTGCAATCACTTGTGGAGTTCAAGCAGGAGCAGTTTGTGTAGCCAGAACAATGCGTCAAACGGGAATCTGAAGGATTCTGTAAATCATAATTGAGGGAAATGACAGAAAACTGCTGTTTCACCAGAGGGGTGTGAGGTGGTCTGCTGGTGGATGAGTTCCTGCCATAYCTTCTGGGCTGTATAAATTGCCAGTTTTCATCTGTGTGATTTGGCTGTTCTCATTTACACAGTTGTTCTCAGCCTTCTTTCTACTGTATATTGAACCATTTGTGATTTAGAGGCGGAGGGAAGGGAAGTTTGAACAAAATCTGAGCTACAAATCTGGTTTGGGATCGTATGATGATCTTGATGCTGAGAGAGAGGAAAACGAACACGGCAAAGACAAAAAGAGCAAATCTGTCAGAGTCAGGAGAGAGGAAAATTCTGTGCTCTTTGTCACATGAAACCTTAAGAAGAGCCTGAAGCTAAATACTGCAGCTCCTATTCATGGTCCTCTGGATAGTTAGTGGCCTTTATAAATGCAAAAATCCCACTTAGATATTCAAATAACTAACTTGCCCTTTTCTGTGTCCTTCTGCCCTCCAGCAGTCTGTAACCTGGTATTTGTCTTCCAGGTCTTGTGTCTCACAGCTTGAAATTCAAAAGAACTTGAAATTCAAATTATCATTGCATCTCAGTCCGGTTTGAGGCCACTTGGGATAATTTAGAGGATTTTTAAAAAMCAACAATAATATGAGTAAATGCCTTACAGTCTTGCACCGTGCGTTTCTTAAGTAGGAAAAGGAACAGTTTACATTGAAATAAGTACAGCGACGGAAAGGAATCTCTGATACTGCTGTTTATTTTAAAATCTAAAATGCAAGATATCGTACAAGACTCATCAGAAATGGAATGCTCTCTCAGAATACCCAATTTTTAGTAAGTCCTAAATTTCTGTTCAAATTTTAAAAGACCCTGGTGATGAATAAACTGCTTATCACTTGTTCATTACTGTGCCAGTACATCAATATTGCGAAGACAGTTTCACGTGGCCTGACCAAAATTTAGATTTCGGTAGTGAACGCACCAAAAAGTGGTGGGTAAAGCCCTCAACAGTTCTCTGCATTTAAGGCAGATGAGAGGTGAGAAACATTTTTCTAGAAGGAAAAATAGGAATATGTACATGCTTGACACATAATAAAAATATCAGTATGTTTGTGCCCAGCATACTGGAATATTGTTCAGCACTAGTTCAACCTGACAAAAATATTATCCGTGTAACGCTGCCAAGGCCCTTGCGTGGTTCACGGTGTGGATCTTGGCTAACCTGGCCATGGTCTACGGCAATTTTTACACTCAGCTTTTCAGAAACCCTTCTGGCTTGTCAGTGAATCAGTTCACCTTGTTTCGTGCCCTTTCACTATTTTTCCTTTCTCCTTTGCTAGACCACACTAAATGTCGGAATAGCCCGTTCCTCTTTTGCTCATTGGAGTGGCATCCTGGCCAGCATCAGGAACAGTGTGGCAGCAGGACATGGGCAGGGACTGTCCCCTGTGTGACACCACTGGGAAAGGGACTGTCCCCTGTGTGACACCACTGGGCAGGGACTGTCCCCCTGTGTGACACCACTGGACAGGGACTGTCCCCTGTGTGACACCACTGGGAAAGGGACTGTCCCCTGTGTGACACCACTGGGCAGGGACTGTCCCCTGTGTGGCACCACTGGGAAAGGGACTGTCCCCTGTGTGACACCACTGGGCAGGGACTGTCCCCCTGTGTGACACCACTGGGAAAGGGACTGTCCCCCTGTGTGACACCACTGGGAAAGGGACTGTCCCCCTGTGTGACACCACTGGACAGGGACTGTCCCCTGTGTGGCACCACTGGGCAGGGACTGTCCCCTGTGTGGCACCACTGAGGCACCTCAGGGGCTGAGTCCAGTCCTGGTCCCTCATTTCGGGAAGGACACTGAGGGGCCAGAGCGAATCCAGGGCAGGGAATGGAGCTGAGAAGGGTTTGGAGCCCCAGGACCGGCTGAGGGAGATGGGGAAGGGTCTGGAAAATCCTGAGGGAGTTGGGAAGGGTTTGGAACCCCAGGAGAGGCTGAGGGAGCTGGGAAAGGTCTGGAGAATCCTGAGGGAGCTTGGAAAGGGTCTGGAAAATCCTGAGGGAGCTGAGGAAGGGTCTGGAGCATGTCCAGGGCAGGGAGCAGAGCTGGAAAGGGTTTGGAACCCCAGGAGTGCCTGAGGGAGATGGGGAAAGGTCTGGAAAATCCTGAGGGAGCTGGGAAGGGTTTGGAGAATCCTGAGGGAGCTGAGGAAGGTCTGGAGAATCCTGAGGGAGCTGAGGAAGGGTCTGGAGCCTCAGGAGAGGCTGAGGGAGATGGGGAAGGGTTTGGAAAATCCTGAGGGAGCTGGAAAGGCCCTGGAGCCACAGGAGTGGCTGAGGAAGCTGAGAAAGGGGTCTGGAGAATCCTGAGGGAGCTCTGAAAGGTCTGGAGCATGTCCAGGGCAGGGAGACGGAGCTGGGAAGGGGCTGGAGCCACAGGAGCGGCTGAGGGAGCTGGGAAGGGTTTGGAGAATCCTGAGGGAGCTGGGAAGGCTCTGGAGCCACAGGAGCGGCTGAGGGAGATGGGGAAGGGTCTGGAAAATCCTGAGGGAGCTGGGAAAGGCTCCAGAGCCCCAGGAGTGGCTGTGGGAGCTGGGAAGGGTCTGGAACCCCAGGAGCGGCTGAGGGAGCTGGAAAGGGGCTCAGCCTGGAGCAAAGGGGGATCATTTGGGACCCTGTGGCTCTGCACAACTCCCTGAGGGGAGGGGGCAGCCGTGGGGATCGCGCTCTGCTCCAGAGAACAGGAGGAGAGGGAACGGCCTCAGGCTGGGCCAGGGAAGGCTCAGGCTGGACATAAGGAGGAATTTCTTCCTGGAAAGGGTGCTCAGGCATTGAAGAGRCTGGAGCGTGCAAGGAGCGGCTGGACACGGCCCTCAGCGCTCTGGGTGACAAGGTGGGG